AATTTAAAGGCTTGTAATTGATAACTAATCTTGGAGCTCCTCTTTCTAATTTTGCGTTTTGAAGACATAGAAAATAGGACATGACCAAGGAGACTTGCTTTTTCTAATGATGCCATTTTTGAGTAATTCAGAATTTTTTTTTTTACAAATTTTCATTACTTCATGGCTCATTTGGATATGTCTTAATTTAGTTGGTATATTTTGCTCATTAAATCCTTTAATGTAGGGAAGTTTTACCATATATTTTTTCTTACGCCAAAAGACTGTAGGAAGGTTAGAACACATTTCTGTTTCTAATTTTTCTTTTAACCTTTCAATTTTTTGAACTAAGACTGGATTTGTTAATTGCTTTTGAAATCTTTTGTGCGTAATTTCTTCTTTAAAAAATTTTACTTGGTTACTTTTTTGGATTCCTAGATTAAGGGACTTTGAGATTAAATAATTTTTAAGTTGCCTTAATTTCTTTACTTGAGGTTTTGTTAAAAATCTAAATGTCACTGGTTGATCAAATGACTTGGTAGATACTCCTTCTATGTCTGTTGTAAAGGAATACAACAGATATATGAATGGTATGTCAAGGATAACTTTATATGTCATATTTTGTACTAAAACAAATGATATTTTAAAATATTTATTGTCTTGACAAATATGTACATTTCGTAACTTATATTTTACACTCATTTTACTACTATTTGCTGAACTGAGTGTTTTAGTTGTCTGATGGTAATACTTCGTTGGTATAAACCCTTCTTGGATGCAGTTTAGATCTGCACCCGTATCTATAAGGGTTACAATTTCAATTTCATAATCATTTTTAATTATGATTTTAACTTTAGAATGTCATTTTTGAAGGTTTAACTTATTAATTAAGTTTAACCTGTTATCATTATTACTCGTTTGCGAACATCCATCGTAAGATGACAGCTTTGTTACACCCAAAAGATCCATTGGATAGGTGGAGGTTATGGGTTTCCACTGGGAACATGTTCTAGTTGAACTACGTGAGCTATCTGAGTTTTTAGCTTCGGATTATTCATCAGATTGGCTAGAAACTAAGCTTCTTGATTTGTTAAATTTACCTTTTGCTTGTAAAAGATTTAATGCCTCTTCTAATTTTTTATCTTGTGCTTTTAAATCTTTTATTTCTATTTTTAACTTGTTAACTTCACTTTTGAGATCTTGTAAGGTGACTTCTTTTTTCTTATCGTTAGTAAATTTCTCCATTGTTTTGTTAAAACTAATTAGCTTTTTTTCACCAAAAGATTGTTTAACGTCTTTCTTGACAACCAGATCTTTAAGTTTTTTAATGTATTTAACTTTTAATTTAGGATTTTCTATTTTGCTAATGAGATCAATGAGAACATGTTCTTCCTCAGTTGGCTTAGTTAAAACACTAATTGTTTTATAACAATTATTTTTACAATCTATCTTAATGTTAGGTTCACTAGATTTGCTAGACATTGACTAATAGTCTAAAGAACTTTTTGGATTGCTAGAATCATCTGAACTTTCTTGGATTGAACTGAGAACTGGTTGCTAATGTTCCATTCATAAAGTTCCATTTATCTATGTTCCATTCATAAAGTTTATCGGATTGAACTGAGAACTGGTTGCTAATGTTCTTTTCTTCAAATTGAAGATCAGGTGGTGTTGGTCTAAAATACCAATTTGTTGTGGTACTAGTTGGATTAACTTTTGAAAAAGTTAGTTTATTAATTTTTTGACTATTAAATTGTTTTTCTAATTCTCTAATTCCAGAACTAGTAGAACTTTTTGATGTACTTTCTTCTAGAGATTGATTGTCTCCAGAGGTTTGTTTATCCTTTTGGTTGATAGTGTTTACTTGAGATGGTTCTGTTTTGGCTTCTATTTTTGGATGACTTCTTCAATCTTTTGAAGTCTTTTACAGTCTTTTACTGATAATCCTAATTTGCTTCTATCTTCAGGTAATTGAATTAGAGGTTTTCTAATTTTTTACTTCAAGATGTTCTTATTTCATCAATTTTTGTTTCAATTTTGTTTAACTGCTTTCCAACTGTTATTAATCATTGATTGGTAAAATTGTTTTGCTCAATTATTCCTTTTTCAGAATCGGCTACTAGTATCTTAAAAGGTGAAGCTTTTTCTTCAGAATCCTTGTGGCTGATTAACAAGGTTTCTGCTGGAGGATGACTTAAAGATACTGTAAAAGCTTCTCCTATTTTCCATTTATGTTTTGTGACTACTTTTATTGATTTGTAATGGTTTTCTAATTAATTAAAGAAATAGATTTCACATCTTATTTCATTCATAAACTTAATCCATTTTTCAATTATTCTTTGTTGTTTACTATCACTATATTTTTTGTTAAATTCTCGTCTTTTAGGTTTATTTTTCTTAGACTTGAATTCATCATATAATTCGTCAAAATTAATGATAAAGAAATCATTAGATTTACTAATTGTAAGTAATTGCTTATTTAATGGGGGATTACTTTCTAGGTCAGTAGTAGAAGAAGAAGGTGTGAAATCATCTTCTTGATGAAACCTTGATTGTGGAGTATAACATGGTTTATTAATTTGTGATGATGAATTATCAATTCCTTTTAACTTAAATTTCTTTTCTAATTCATTAGCTAAATCTTTATTTCAGATTTTCTTCCGTCATTGATTTGAAGTGCTTTGCTAAATGATTTACTAGGTCGATGAGACCTTGTGTTGTCAAATGAGATTCTTACTGATCCATCAGGAAACTGTTGGATATTTTCTAAATTTGTTGTGATGTTTTGACTATCTTTGTTATAGCTTTCATTCTCAACTATTCAGGAATCTGGAAGTTGAATATCTTTCCATCGGAGTCTTTTGGGGACTTGTATATTTGCTTCTGTAGTACTACCTTGGATTAATAAGGTACTATCTTTAGGACTTTTCTTTAATGCATGAACATTCAAGTTTGTTATGATGCATTTGTAATAAATCCTATAAATTAGTATTAAAGATCTTGCTTCTTTTACCATTTTGGTAAATTCTCCAGTAACTTTTATACCTAAAGTTAATGCCATTAATAAAGTAGGATCTTCCAAACTAAAGGTAAAGTCTCTAAAGCAATTAAAGTATATTGGTCCGTCATGAAGAGCAGCTTTCATTATACCTAAGATGCTAGGTTCATAGTTTATGAATCTAACATCTCTTAAGGATAATAGAACTGCAAAATTTTTCCTATTTTGAGTTAATGGTTTTATTGCTACCTGTCCTAGGCCAAGGTAGATAAAATTATATCCTTTTGATCTATGCCTTTTTATGGCTTCTTTACTAAGTAATTGACAAGTTTCTTCCACTTTTGTGAGAGAATAGACTTGTTCAATTTTTTTTACTTGAAGTTTTGACTTGAAGGCTATTGGGATCTAACTAGTCTTATAAATTTCCTTGTGGGGGACTTTGGGGATATTCCATCCACTCTAATTTACTTGTGACTCTTGATATTCATGTTCTTCTTCATTAACTATATTTGGTATAATGTTTAATGAGGATCTAGCTGAGCAAGCAATAGAATTAGATCTAAAAAATCTACTCATTTTTAAATCTAAGATTTTCAACTTGGTAAATTACTTTTAAGTTTTTACTTCGTTGTACATATCCCTCTTATGCACATACCCTTTAGATTTATTGTCCATTTTTCCCTTTATTGCCTCTTACTAGGACTTACACTGGGATCTAGACACTCTAGGCTTAGGTGGCAAAGCTAAGGTGACAAAGAAGATAAGACTTAAAAGAAATTTCTTGTACTAATTATATGCTGGCAAGATAGGATAAGAATACAAAAATTTTGTAGTTATTTTACATTTCTACTCGATTTTTTGCAGAATACCAAAAGATCTTTCGTTGGCCTACCCAATTCTTTTGGGTAACCGATCAATAAGAACGGATAGGGTAGGGTAGGATCGAAATTTGTGGATAATCAAAAATTTGAACACTCTTATACTTGACATTCGAGCAATCCGGTTTAAAAAAATCACTCGATTCACAGGTTTTAATGTAAATCGACTTGTTTAGCGGGCCAATTACAAATGTAGGTTTTTAAGTAAACCAGACCGGTTTAGGCCCTGGTTCACCGACATGATCAATCAGGTAGACCTGATTTTGATAACATTGATTTTCACTGAAAGAGTGAAATTTTAACTCCAAAAGTGAAATATTCACTAAAAATAGTATTTTTACTCAAATAATGGAATATTTACTGAAAAACATAAAATATTTACTCAAAAAGAGGTATGTTCACTCCAAAGGTAATATTTTCACTCAAAAAATAGTATTTTTACTCTAAAAGTAATCCAAAAAATGAAACATTCACTCACAAAGTGATATTTGCACTTAAAAGAATAGAATATTCCCTCTAAAATTACTACTTTCACTCAAAAATAGTATTGTGGTGGCACGATGACAATGCCGACAATGTGTTCTATTTGGACTTGTAGCAATGGTGGTAGCAATTGTGAGGTGGTGGTGGGGGGGGGGGGGGGGGTGGAAATGGACAAAAAATAGAAAATCAATAGTTAATTAAGCAATGGTTGGATGATGATACATATACAACTGAGGAATCACATGGCAGTGCCAATTTGTACATCTAAGACCGGGCAATGAGCTGTCACTAGTTTCCATTGCTAGACTAGATGCGAACGTTTGGCATATGGAACAATTAGAAAATTTTATTTGTGTTTATTAGGAAATTTTTTCTAAGAGCAAATTGTTTCATGGAGATGTTTGCATAACATATAAACGGTCCAGATCTTTAATTTCTAGCAACTTACATGCTATACAGACACATTACATGTCTTCCTCACAAGAGAAGTAACAGAATACCAAACATATTATGAAAATGATCATTGTCACACCAACTACTGCTCAGGCGCCACCGCACTCAATCGGAATGCTCAAAAGCCAACATTGATGATTCCATATCAGTAGAGGTCCCAAAACTACCCATGTACCTAGACATTAGATACCAGAACTTCCAATTTAGCTTCACTTGGGATTCCTCAGAACTATGATCACCGAGTCTCCACGGAGGAACATTTTGCTAATGAATCTGTCCTTGTTAACTGGAAGGGCCTTTTTCTTGCCTTTCCCAGTTTTCGGTACCTGCAGAAACATGGCTGTCACTTGCTTGCAAAACATAAAATGTTTGCTGGACAACTAATAGTTAAAGGGCGAGGATATGAAACCAACCTCAGTCCACATCTCCCTGACATTTTCCAAAACCATATTGCAGTGCCGATCAAAGGCTCTCACACGACCAAGAAGCTTCTTGTTGTTTCGACAATTGATAAGCACCTGAATATCGGTGCAAACAATAAAACCAAAAGGGTTAAAACATGCAAATATACTTTTGTTGAAGAATTTAAACCCCAGGAACCAAGAAACTAGATGTAGACAATTCTGTCACAATTTGTAATCCCAAGGTAAAAGACCAAAAAAGAATTACCTGAGTGTTATTTTTAACACTCATCATCAGGATAGATAGGGGTCCTGTGTTAAATTCTTCTTCTTCATTCTTAACAACCTGTCCCTGCAGCAAACAGCTCTAATAAGCTATTGAGATATCATGCCTATCAACAACCACCACCAAGTACTATTTCCGCAACTACATAATAACATGAGAAGGGGTAAAGGGATATGGCATGCAGATACTTTTTGCACAAAAGACAGATAACTTGGGTGCCCTTTAGATATGCCATGAAAATTGCAGTCTTTCCTCCCAACATTTGAACAACTAGAGTGTTTATGCGGACATCACCACATTCCCAGGTAAAAACCAAAATGAGATCTTCTCATCAACTCCCATAAAACCCTCGGGTAAAAATTAGGTGCCACTAGAATTTTAAAGGATTAATGAACCATACATTAAAGAAAATGTCTTATTGTCATTTCCCGGAAAATCCAAATAGACAAATCGTAGTCTACATAAAAGACGATGCTTTCTTTAACTTCTCCTTGGAAACATTACAATGTCTTTACAGACCACCACACACACCATTGCCCCTTAAAAAGCCTGAATATGAGAGAGGATTTCTGTATACTTGGAAGTAAGGCAAATTAACAGATATGATCATTTGAGAATTGTATGAGAAAAATTATAGCATCTCTTCAAATGTTTGCTTCCCTAGTTATGAAAGGTACAGGATAACAATACAAAAGAAATGATAGTTAGAACAGGGGGAACTGTAAAAGTAGAACAAACGACAAAATCAATTCAGCACATATGCCACAGTTTCTTTCTAATCAAAGTAAATAAACTCTCAAGTTTTGGATGAGCAAGTATAATTCCAACAAGAAGAAGAATGCCACGGTGGGCATCATACCAATATTTTCTAACTTCAACTAAGAATGTAGTCTTTTATAAATGCACATTTCATTTGTCACCAACCTTAGCCTTGTTTTGTTTCCCAAAATGCACCCTGAGAAATAACTCATTTTTTTCTAAATTTACTGATACAAAAAAAACCAACTCAAGTGTCCTCATAGTTGGAACACGACACTGACGAGTGACAAATATGAAGGCTAGTGGTTTAACAGAGACATAAATTAAAAAAACTGAAGTGGAAACACACCACGACACCCACACTCAGGCAAAACGATAATATCGTCAAACAATAGATTAATGGAAAACATCATAACAAAAACATTGGTAGAATACAAAAGTAACTTACATCCTCCTCCATTGGCCGGCTGGGATGGAGAAAAAGGAGGCAAATAGACAACCAAAACAAAGAAAACAACCATCAGCTTCTTGAATAAATTGTATTTCACAGTAATACCTTTAGTATGAACTAGTACTTAATACAGCGAATAAGTAAAAAAAAACACTAATAAAATACCTCATTTTCAACAATCTTAGAGCTCCCTGAAGTTTTGTTCAACCAAGCAATGTTTGAAAGACTTCCTAGAAAAACATAGACACCAAAACAAATCAGTTAGTGGGAAGGCATAATCTTGATTGTGGCTGCTAATACAAAAGCTAGTGGACAGGGAAACTCATTTCAAAATTTTAACTAATATCAACATGAATTGAATGATCTTCCTAAAGAACCTTCAGCTCAGGTCTCCACAGATATTCATCATAATAGAACTCGGGAGAACAAAAGTTTTCTAGTGAGCATCATCAGAGACAAAGGAAGATCTTCAATTTCTACTAAGACAAAAGTTGGTCAGGTTCACATGCGACAGACAAAACTCAAAAATATGCCAGGAATGAAACACTTAACACAATAGGCACAAACAATGAGTTACAGTAATGTAGGAGAAACTCAAATTAAAATTCATGCATACCTAACAAGTCCACATATTGGATTACAAGAACTACAATAGTAAAAGCAAAACAATTACTTTCCTGATAAAAATAAGGAAAAATACTGACGTAATGAAAGATCTTTGTCTCTTCAGTTCAGGTCTCCAAAACTTTCCACATTAATGATTTCAGAAGAACGAAAGTTTTCCTGTACTCATCCTCAGAAACAAAAGTGATCTTTAACCAAAAAACACAAACTTTACAAATGGGATTTGCACCAAAATAAATTTTAGCAAACCGGAGCATGGTACCGAAATGACTATATTTTGCTGGTCTCAGCAATTAGTTTATTGAATTTCTCCCTTAGAAGAAACCTTTAGGACCAAGGCTGCATGAGGTAGGAAAAGGATTATATGCTTTGCCAATTTCGCAGCTTTGCGAATGGGATTTGAACTAAAAACTGTTTATTTGCAAGAATTTTCAAAACACTCTGCAGGAATTTTCTGAACAGCTAGTAATTGTAATGAGGTAGAGGATTAATCAAGCCCTTAATGTAAAATCCCACACAAAAATAATTAAAAATCATATCAGTAAACCATTAATGTGGATCCTCTCAATATCAAAATATGCCAGCTGCCAATTTCTTTCATCGACCATAAAATTATTTGGTCTTAATTTGATATTAGTAAATCCCCTAACAACCCAATAGTTGGGCTATTATTTTGACAGACTTAACCGATGGGCAAAATTTGAAATTGAAGATCCAGGGAATACAGCCATAACTTCAATCTCTGTTTCGATGCCATGAAAATCAACCAAGAAAAAAAAACTATTAACTCTAAATTCAAAGAATAACATCTGAAAAAGTTAAAAATAAGTCCAAACACTCCACTCAACAGAGTCTCATGCTATAACTCAGCTTGACTAATGATAAATGTTTTTGCATTTATTTTTGTAATTACACATATAGCCGATATATTATGAAAGGCATCAGAATAGAGAATCACCATGACCTTACTAAGCCTCTTCAGTTCAGGTCTCCATAAATCTTCCGCATGGAATTTCTCAGAAGAACGAAAGTTTCTATCATCATTAGAGGCAAAAAAATAAAAAATAAAAAATAAAAGAAGCACCGATCTCCAAGACCCGGTTCTAAAAAACAGATCAGACCATTGATACCCAAAAGAAAGTGAAAAAGAATAGTAAAAAAATTCTTCGCAAGTACATCTGTAATATCATCTTGCAAATGGACACAAAACTCACTTGTATGCCAAGTGGGTCATTACCCAATTTAATCTGGTTTCTGACAGGGATAAACTGGTTCAGACCTAACCTTCGCCATTTTTCATGCAAAATGACTGCACTGGATTCAACATTTCTACCTCAAAAATCAATAAAAAAATATTAAGCATTCATCAAAAGCTATTCAACGATAAATTAAGTATAGCACAAGCATACATGCTCAGAAGAACGGAAGGAAATCGAAGCTTAGTACCTTGTGCTGTTGGCTGGAAATGGGCACGAGATGCAGCTGTGTGACTTGAAGTGAAATCGAAGCTCATGCTAGCTGTATTTATCATGTGGTGATTGCAAAACCCTAAGCCTTGTGGCTAGGGTTTTATGCTGTATTGGGCCTCAAGTTGCTTCGTATGGAAACCTCAAACATGGGTTGGGGTTTGGGTTTTGGTTTGCATATTATTGTTTTGGGCTAACATTTTTAAGGATCCTTTCGAAGCCAGTTTTTTTTTTTTTTAAAGATTTATTTAGACTTAAGTACATCCAAAAAACTTATTCGTAAATAAATTTATTTTGATTCTCATCGTCTAAAATACCCTCAATAGTTACATTTAATCAAAACTTATTTAAAACTAGGAAAAATTTCAGCCACACTCATCCTAATTTACTATATTTTTAAAGACACCCCCTCTATTATCAAAAAAATCATTGTCATTCCTTCTAATTTATATTTAAACATCACTAACACTCCATACCATTAAACTATCATTTCTAACAAAAACAATTCATCTAAAATACTAAAAATGCCCCTACATAAACCTCAAGTAACTTTTCTATATAAATTTTTATTAAAATTCAAATTGATTAAAATTTATTTTTCTATATATTAAAATTTGAACCAGTTAAAATTCGATTGAAACTGATTAAATTTTATTTTTTTAACGTATTAAAATTCGAGTCTATTAATTTTTATTTTTTACGTATTAAAATTTGATCGATTTGAACTCTACCTGAGTTGTTAGCACGGATCAAAATTCTCTTTAGAGTTGATTAAAATTAATATTTTTTTACTTATTAAAATTTATGTCAATTAAAATTTAATTTATTAAAATTTGAGTCAATTAAAATTTATATTTTTTATGTATTAAAATTTGGGTTGATTAAAATTCACTACGAGTTGATTAAAATTTGATTTGAGTCGATTAAAAATAATTTTTAATCGGCTCAAATAGAATTTTAATTAGCCCAAATTTTAATCAAAAAAATAATTTTTAATCAGCACAAATTTTAATATGTAAAAAAATAAATTTTAATTAGCTTGAATCGAATTTTAATCGACCCAAATTTTAATACATAAAAAAAATTAGAAAACAAAAGGGGTCTCATTAAAGATATGCTTATCTTGAGAGGTCGTGGATGAAGTTTGTTCTCAAATATATTATGGCCAATTTAGTAAAATTGTATTCTAGTTAATATTTTTAATCTGATAGGGATGTTAGTGAAGATTCAAAAATAGAAGGGGTGTCCTTGAAAATATGATAAACTAGAGAGAATGTAGTTAAAATTTTCCCAAAAACCTAACTACTCCTAAATTGGGAATTTTATTAATATTAATAAGTCATAACTTGAGAATTGTGCTAGCATTAAGTACTCACATATGATGTCATTATTTGGTAATGATTAAATTTTTTAGTTTTTTATTGAGTATGATAATATTTGATATTATTAATTTTTTGTTGATATATATATATATGACAAAAAAATAGTTTTAATGCTAACACAATTCCTAAGTTAGGAATTTTTATATTTGAAAATATTGAAACTAACAATGATACGTAGTATTTATGGTAGGAGTAATTAGGCAATACAAAAAAAAATTAAAATGTTTACTTAATGACAATAATATATATTTATATTTATATCTATACTACTTATAAATGTCATTATATGCGAAAAACTTTTAATTTCTATTTCACCCCTAATTATTACACTAAAGACAATTATACTAGATAAATTTTAACTCTATGACTTCTAAATTTTTTGTTGGATAAACCTTATCACTAATATTCCAAAAATTTTGCTAGATAAATTTTATTACTATATATTAGCTAGATAAAATGTATATGTATATAAAATTTTTACTAGATAAACTTTATCACTATGACTTGCTATTATATTCTTCTTTTCCATTCAATTATACAAATTCAACTAGAATTCTAACATAATGTGAAAAAAAATTGTTATTTTTTAAGTGATAAACACAACCATCGAAAATTCATTACTCATTATTATATAATAAAATATTAGAAGAGTAAAGAGCTAAACCTATATATATGTTTCTTTCTTTCATACCTATTAGACTTCCAAAATATTTTAAACAATTTTATTAGAAATATATATAGGTAGATATAAGACGATAGATTTATATCTCTCCAGTAACTCCACTAACATATTTGGTTTTATGTCTTTGTAGTAAATTTTTTCTTCAAAATCTTTTAAAATTAATAGCCTTGCATCTCTATCCCCTCGACGTTAAGTATATTGTGGCTGTGAAGAATGGTGGATTGACGATGCTTGGTGTTGTTAACCTGCAAGCCTTTTTTTTTCTCTGTCAGGACATGCTTATTGTTGGTATGATATTTTCTTTACTTTGTTTTCCATCCATTTGGGTATAGCTATTGCATAAATTTTCTATTTACCTTACAACAGTTTTTGTAATTAGAACTAAAATTATTGAATTGGTGTTCCCATAAAAGTGATAATGAACGCCAAAAAAAATATACTTTTCATAGAATGAAGTGTTTAATCTGTTAAACTAATTTCATAATATTTAATTGTTTATTATTAGTAGGTTTGTAGTGTTTTAGGAGTTATTATATTATAAGTAGAATTAGTTTTGTTACCAAACTTCTTGAATTCATGCAGTGGTGAAATAGTTTCAGATTAGCAAATTATATTTAGGAGTTTTATTGTAATGCTAGAAATTCTTACTGAATTCAAGAAACCATTAAATGCATATATCAATAGTCTTTTGCTTCGTCAACTTCATACTTTGTATTTCTAAAAAATATAATCTAAATTTTATGATCTAAATTTTTTCTTATGCGACGCACGTGTGCATTACTAGTTTAATGAAAAAAAGGATTTAAAGGAGTATAAGTCTGATTGTAGTACTTAAAATCAAATAAATTCTAAAAAAAATACTCACAACCAAATATCCATTTTTTTAATTATTATTAGTAGTTCAAAAAAGGTTCAAGTTTACATGTATATGTAATTCAAAATAAAAAAATGGGTGTATTTTATTTATACTACTTGAAAATATCAGCATTCTTGAAAAATATTTTTTTTCCATCTTT